AGAGCCCCAAGCAGCGAGCGGGTCCTCCTCATTTTCTGCCCGCCGTAAGCAAAAGGGCCACCACCAAGGAGAGCTTAATGAGTTTAATTCCTAGGGGCTGGCCAAAGAACACTCACTATGGAGGCAAATTCATCACTAAGAAAACAACCGCGGGAGTATTATTATTATCATCACCCTGCCTACAGCCTGAGTCACAGATCTGGGATCTACAACACCGGCGCTGTACAAACATGTAAGAGAGTCAGGCAGGATTCATCACACCAAACGTGGCAGAATCATCGAATCATAGAATAATTTAGGTTGGAAAAGACCTTTAAGATCATCAAGCCCAACCGTAAACCTAGCACTGCCATTCCACCACTAAACCCTGGCCCTAAGCACCACATCTACCCAGCTCTTAAATACCCCCAGGGGTGGGGACTCGACCCCTTCCCTGGGCAGCCCCTTCCAGTGCCTGACAGCCCCAAGGGGAAGGAATTGTTCCCCATGGCCAACCTCACCCTGCCCTGGCACAACTTGAGGCCATTTCCCCTCATCCTACAGGCTCCCTTTCCAGCCCAGAGCGGAGAAATGAGCCTTTTTAAGGGCTTTCATTCTCCTCCCAAGACAGACATTTATGGGTGTCCACCAAAATGTCCCCAACATTGACCATTCATCCCTGCTGACTATCAATGGAGTTCAAGGATGCAGATCAGATGAAGATATACGCTGGTGATGTCTCAACTCGGGCAAGACAAGTGCTCCTCCTTGTACTGGGAGAAGCTGGGAGCTCTGAGCATGGGTTTGCAGTACTGGTCCCAGTGCAGTACTGGTTTGGGATATTCCTGCACTGTAACCCAGATTAGGGGAAAAATCCAGCTTTTTCAAATGGTGTATTTTTTTTGAGGTTTCTTTCTCCACAACGCTTCCTCCGTCTGGCTGACAGAACATCCCGACAAGCCAGGGGAAGCTGGACACCAGGGATACGTTACACCACGACTGCTGCTAACATCCCGCAACACGAAACCGGGGCCAAATGCTGTCAACAGAAGAGCAACCTCACTCATGGCTCTACTACACCTCTGGCAGCACTCTGCCCTTCCTCCCTCCTTCCTTGCCTCCTTCTTCTTCAAGTACCAAGAATTCCTGCTCTTTATTTTGCTACCGGTTTTGTTTTCAGCATCAACAACATTATCTCAGCAGAAGCACAGAGTTTGCGGTGCTGCTGTACTTGAAGCCGTACCATCAGACGCTGTCACAGAGTGCCTGTGTAATAATAAACCAAGATTTCTGTTTCCTTTTCTTTTCCTTTGTGTCTCAAAAAGTTCTGACATCATGTCCACCAAGACATGAATTTTAAAGGCACAGGAATTTTTGAAAAAAAAAACCTGCTGTTTTTTATTTTTCCTTTATCAATTACGATTTTTGAAGCCCGAGAGATGACTTTTGAATGCCTGAAGTTGGCAACGACCAAGCCATTTGATAAAGGTCTAACCCTACACCTCCTAAACCAGCTCTAGAGAAGTAAATACGTCAGCAGTTCAAGAAGTTATTTCACTTAACTTTGAGAGGGAATTTTCATAAAATAAAGGAATATTAGGAGTCTAGCGAGCAAGGTGGACATCAGTTGGTAGATGACGCCACCTAAATGCTGCTGAGCAGCTCTCTAGACTTCATTAACTGCGTTAGTGAGATCTCCACTTAATGGAGTCAACTTTCCCAGGTTCCAGTAGCACTGGGGCAACCCTGACCACTGCAGCTGGAGCTGACTGCTCCAAGTGACCTAGAAAGTCAACTTGGAAGGAGGGACTGGCTCCAGAGAAGCTTATTCTTCAACCGTCAGATCACCAGATTGCTGAATTAGAACACTAATTGGCTCTGATGAGTCCCATACAGCCAAACTGAAGAAAAGAGCATTAAGAGAAGGCAAGAAAAAATCATTCATTAGGGCTGAGAGGTGAAGATGGAGGCAGAGAGATGGAAAACTGGGCTGTTTACCAACTGGAGCTTTACCAAGTCAAGGAGAACAGAATGGAGTATAAGGGATGGGAAAGCAGTAACTTCCTTCTCCACTCGGATTGTTAGAGAGGAGCAAGAGTAAGGAAAGGAGGAGACTCGAGTCACACCCAAGATGACTGCAGAAGGGACGATCACAGTAGCCCCACAGTTGGATGCTTCAATGGAAGAAAAAAGTGTAGTCTGGAGAAAGAAGCAAGATTGCAGGAGAGGTATGAGCAGGAAAAGAGGGGATTAATGCTGATAATGAGACAAACTTGATTTGGCAGATGATGGAGGAAGGACGACAGCGGGGGCCCATGCCCAAGACAAGAGATCGTTGTTTCAACATTGAGTTTTCCATGCATCTGGGGGCTGGGCTGGGGCAGAAGGAAAGGGCACGGATAAAAACAAATTTGCTGGAAACAAAGACACACCAGTGAAACAAGAGAGAAAGTGCTGCAGAGAAGCACAAGGAGTTTGGAAGGTGGCAGTCGGTGAGGACCTGGCGGTTGCCATGTACTCCTGAGCCCAGAGGCAGGGTGATGGGCACTGGGTGCCTCCCCGGAGCATGCCCTTCTCCTTCTCTGGAGATATTCAAACCCCACCTGGACAATGTCCTGTGCCCCCTGCTCTGGGTGAGCCTGCTTGAGCAGGGGGGTTGGACTGGGTGAGCTCCAGAGGGCCCTGCCAACCCCGGCCATGCTGGGATTCTGTGATACCACATCTTTGCCTCCACTACACCAAAGGCTCGAGGCTGTGCCTTTGGGAAATGCCTGCTACAGCTCCAACGATTTACAGGCTCGATGGAGGAACTGATGGGCTGGGTTTCCAGTCCCAGTGATCATACCAC